CATCATCTTTCTCACCCCTATGTTATGACCTCTACCATTGTGTTTCAAGGGTAGATGTATCTATCTTGCAATATGTAGCAAAACCAAGGAAGAACTCAGCTCTGATAATAGGGGATATCAGGCTGACTTGCTAAAAAGCACAATGGACCTTCCAATTAGCTTGTGCCATGAAGTTACATTGTACCATACTCTAGTTGGTTTCACATCCTAATATGATTCCGTTCTCACGCCTCTATGCTCCATTGATCGTCTAATTCAAAAGTACCCCCCTTACATGAGCACTCCTAAGGTTGGGCTTAAGGAACATTAAATACCATTGCTCTATTCAGGGACAATTTTTTGAACCCTGCAGAGGCTCCTCAGCTAAAGACTCAATGGTATTTGCATTAGGAAGAAACCAAATGTATTCATCTATCACTTGGGACACAGAACATAGCAAATGTCCTGCCCTGCTTAGGAGCAAGTAAACATCCCTAGGATGTCAAATGTAAAGGAACAACTTGCAAATCAACAACAAAAGCAGAGGAAAAATTATTCCAGTGTCAACATAAAGACTGTGTGATATGCACAGCTCACAAAGTTGATGAGCCAGATTTTCAGTCTGGTGCCTCCTGGAAGCAACTCCACTTCTCCTTGTTACCAAAGTTCTTTGTTTCTTTCATAGAACAGCACTGAAAGCATAAGCAGTGATAAATTATGAAATTATACTGCAAAGCAACTGGGAAATGTGGGAGAAAATTAACACCTCGAACTAACTAACTAACTAACATCCTAACATGCCAGTTAGGATGCTGGCATGCCTAACTACTATGCTAACAGTTGCCCAAAATACAGTATTTTAGTGAGTAAATTTTCAAATATATACTCACCATCCAGAAATGCCACATTTGCCTATTCAGAAACCTCCTAGCAAAGAGCACTACACTGATATCTATTGGTGACTTGTAACACACTGTGGTCTTCTCTGGGAATCTCTCAAGTATGGCTGATGCTTTGCTTGCCACTCCAATAGTCAGGCAGCCCCAATTCCATCTGTAAAGGACAACAATATGTATGCAGCAGCTATGTTAGCTCTGTTATCTTGTACCAACCATTCTGAACCAGCCACAGGTCTATAGGAAGGTATATACCATTGTGCTGGTTTAAGAGTTAACCAGCAGGGGTAATGAACCCAACTCAAAGGAGAGATTATAAAGTCAGAATAACAATTTATTAAAATAATACAGTAAGTACAATCATACAAACAAACAATTGGTCTTAACCCACAAAACCCAAATGTATAACCCAGTACCTTGGGGGCATGAACAAAGTGGTGTTCCTTGGGCCCCGCTTAAGTCCAAAGTAAAGGGAGAGGGGAAAAAACCTGCTGGTGGGAGAGCTGTTGCAGTCTGGTCAAAAGTGGTGATTGCAGTCCAGCTGAGGTTGAGAGCGACGAGCTGCAGTCTTCCTCTGGATCCCACGAGTGGTTGAAAAGTTCTGAAACTCCAGGTTTATATATTCTCCAGTTCAGGCAGGAATGGTCAGTACTTCCCTCAGGGAGTTCCATAAAAGGTAAGAGCATCCTCCTATCTCACAGGCCTCTTAACACCTAGTTTATAGGCTGAGGAGTCAGGCTCTTATGGGCAGAGGTGCTAATAGTCTATTGACAACAGTTTCTGGGAAATGACATGGAAGGCTATAGAATACACAGTTTTGGGTTACACCCATACCATGATGAACTCAGCTGTCCTAACTAGGACAACCATGTTCACTTCAGCTAAGGTGTCTGAAGACATTTTGCTTGGTACTCTTGTGTTGCTTGAAGCATTTTGTTCTCTTTAGCTGATCACTATAACGTGCATGTAATATAACATATTACAAATGTGGTGGTTGTGGGCATTGATAATTATACTTACCATGAACCTTCATGTCCATTACCTGCAGTTCATCCTATTAATCTATCCACCCCGGTATTGTTCTAACATTCTAAACCTCTGAGCAGCTTCAAGTAACTGGGACTTTTTCTTAGTTTAAATTTTTTTTTATTTTTCCTTTTTTCCCCCAAACCTGTCAAAGATATATTTCCTTCTTTTCCTCCATCAGAAGATTTTTTCCTACCAAATTAGTACTGGCCAAAAGACAAAATGGTGATATTTTGCCCTGAATTCAATGGTGGTCTCTGCTGTATCTCATCAAAGTGCAAAGCAGGGGCCTTTTGCAACATCCCTTGAGGTAGAGGAGATTGCCAGGGTTCTCAGGAAGCAGCCACCAATTCTCTGGTGTTTGGAACGTCCTTTCCTAAACACTCAAAGTTTGAAGCCATGGCATTCTTATCTACATCTGTACTATTTCTGGTGAATTCTAACAGTTTGAAATATTGTTTGGAAGTGTCAAAGACTTACTATTAGTAATTCTCTAGGACTAGGCAGCTGGATTAGCTCTATATGCAGTAGCATCTGTTATTAAAGATCAAGGCTAAAAAAACTAGTCCCTGTAACATTCTTTTAACACTCAAATGTTTTGCATTTTTTAAATGTAGGAGTGGCAAACTCCATATAGAATGTCTGAAGTAACATAACATTTGTATTGGCATTCACTTGACTTGTCCTACCTAATTCACTGCTCATATCATTGCCACTTATTTTGTGACAAGGAGGGTCATTTGAAGATAATATTACCAAGTGTTCCTTCCACCCACTGGAATTTATGCATATTAAGTAATTTATGTTCATCTTTTTTTTTATTTGTTCCTGTTTTTTATATATCTGTCTATTACACCATTTCCCATGACTTTGTTAAGTGCCTTGGCTTGTTTCCTTTTAATTACCAGGTTTATTTTTCACAGCTTCTGGTATATTACACTGATCTTTGGCCATATGTTCAGGTGTGCATGAAAACTTGTCTGCAGTTGCCTTGTTGGTTTACTGTGCAGCAAGAAGAAAATTGGCTAAATTGATGGTATAAGCATCAAGCTAACTAACAAAAGCAGCTTTTTGCTACACTGACTATGGGGTAGAAATACACATTACACAACGACGGAATATATTCAATCAGAAACATGAAAAATGATGTTAACAAATTTTTTCCGGCCAGGGTTCTCCCACTGTACCACAACAGTAAAAAGTTTCAGGAATAAAATAATTAATAATGCTGACATTTAAGGAAGCCTTAACACAGTTGATGGTAGAAAACAAATACAAATTCTCCCATGCTTTCACTTGATAAGAAATAGAAGGAGCTGAATGATTAAAGACTTGCATGAGTTATGACCTGGACACACGGTGAGAATATGGGCATTACAACCCATACTTCAAGTTGTGCTCTGCAGATGTGTTGAATGTGTGGGAAACATCTCTGACAGTTCGTCTTGATGGGTTAACTGATGAGCAGTTGCTGTCTCCCAAGAAAGAACTTTGAAACTTTCAGCAACAAGACTTTAATTCATCAAGTGTTGCTGATTTTATAGGATGAAACGTAAAAAAGTAAGTTATTATTCATGCATGAGGATTTCACCATATGGGTAGGTTTAATATGCCTTTGTACTGAAGGGGATGTCTCATTTTATAGAAAGTTGAAAGCAGTAGTGATTGGGAAAGATGGGACACTGCAAAAAAAAACTGAATGGAAGAATATGAAAGTTTAATGAGAGTAAGGAGTTGGACATCAGCTTATCTGGTTATATTGTAAAGAGAGAAACAGCAACCTCAGCTTTAGCAGCAGTGATAGTCATATGCTCAAGCAGAATATAAATCTTAAATATAAACCTAAAACAAACTAGCCTGTTAATTCAGATTAATGATGCCACTGCAATTTAATCTAAAATCCATCTGAAAAGCAACATGCCAACCTAGGTCCAAGATAGAGAGTGTTTTCCCTTGGTGACTTCGTTCTTTCAGATAATCTGCTTTGTTTTTCTATAGGTAGGATTGCAATGAGTCCCTCACTCTACAAACAGTTTCTTCAATCAGGAAATAAGGATGAATTGGTGTAATATCTGCAATATTACACCTGCCCACCGTACCCCGGCACAGCCGAGCGGACACAGGCAGCGCCGGCCCTCACACAGCGCCGGCCCCGCCTACCCGCTCCTGCGCATGCGCAGCCCTGGCAGCGGCGGCGGCGCGCGCGAAAATTTGGTGTGGCGGCGCGAGCCGGGCGGCGGGTAAGGGATGGGAAGGGCCAGGAAGGGAGACAGGGAGACAGAGCACGGGGGAGCCTCGACGGTACCTGCCCGGGGACTGGGAGGGCAGCGGCAGCTCCTTGCTCGTCGCTCCCTGGAGGGCGCGGGCTGTGGTGTCGGGACGGGGCCGTGCCCTGGGGCGGCTCATCCGTGCCCCGCGGGGGCTGACGGCGAGCGGCCAGCCGGGCAGGGGTACCTTGGCCCCGAGGGGCGGCCCCGGCCCTCGCTGCCCTCCCTGGCGCTGTGGGGTTGGCAGGGGAGGCGGCGGGGCCGGACCGCGCTGCCCCCCGAGAGCTGCGCTCCGGCCGCGGCCGCCCCCGGGCCCTGCACCCATGGCCGGGGCGCTCCGTGGCCCACGCCCCGCTGCGCTGGGCCCCGTCCGGCCTGGCCGCCAGCTCCTCCGGCCGTGGGGCATCCACCGCTTCTCTGGGCAGCCTGTGCCAGGGCCTCGCCACCCTCACTACAAAGTTCCTTCCTAACGTCTAACCTAAACCCAGTCGTTCTAAGTCATTGCCCTTTGTCTGTCCCCACACACCCCTGTGAAAAGTCTGCTTCTGCCCTCTCGTATCACCCACATAGGTACTATCTCGTATTGAAGACATCTAGAAAGAGAGAGACTTCCACCTCTGTGCTGTCTGCATCTCACTATTCCCCTTCCTTCTAGGGTCTTTGGAAACAGAGCAATAATGCATCATTTTGTGATACATCTTTGCAACCATAATACATAGATACTTTCCTCAATGGCTTATGAATACGGGGCAGTAAAAAGTTTCCTGCTTTGTTTCTGATTCAGGAGACCTGACAACTTTTGTATTGTGCTGTCTGACACAGGCTGTGGTGGAGGAACTTCACTACAGCATGCTTTTAAAGAATACTGTCTGAAAATGTAGCTGGCCTTTTATTTAAACTAAAGACTAGGGAAGATAAGTGCCCTGTAAGTGCTGGGAGAATTTGATGTTTTCAGTTTCAGTTTTGGCTCACAAATGTGGGTAATTAAACTTACACTCCTCTCCAAAATTTTCCAAATCACCATTTCTTATGTGGAAGAATAACTAAAATAAGTAAAATGGGATAATGCTCTATATCAGTGAAGAATCCTCTAGGTAAAATTTCCGTGATGTAACAATCTAGTGATGACCCTTTGAACACTAGGAGAATCATAAGAATCTGGAAATTATTTCTGTGTACTTTATCTCTTTCTGTCGTTTGTTTCCTCAGTGACTTCGGAAAATCATTTTCTGTTTGTGTCTCTGTTTCCTCATGCTTATGCAGAAATGCTTTTAACTCTGCAGAACTGAAGTATTTCAGTGAAAGGTATGTACTTCATTACTGAACTAAATATTAGAAGTTCTTAAAAAATGGGGAAAAATAATTTACTTAGTGTAAGAAGTACAACTCTACACTGTGTGAATATCTCTGAATATAAATACCAGTACTTTACCTTTCAAATACTTGGGATAAAGAGTTTGGAATGTGTCTTCTTTTCCTATACTTGTGTAAGCTGGGAGAATGCTTGAATTTAGCAGTTGCATGGCTATTAAAGAAGCATTGTTGGAAATATGAAGACCTTTAGTGTTCATTCATAATTTCATGGCTAGGCTTCGCGAACGAAGATTTGGGAAGGCTCTATCCACATTTGCTACAGGCACGCTGGTGGCTTATGAGGCCAATACGTGACAGACATATCCGATTGCAAAAGGCACAGCAGAAAGAAAGGCTGATCATTCTTCTCCGTATCTAAATAGATTGTGTCCCTGTTCCTGCTTGTCCTCCTGACCCCTGCAGCTTAGTTGGAATATGTTCTGGCTTTCTCCCTGCCTTCTTGTAATTTTAGTTTGTACAAGTAGAATTGATTGCTGGTCCTCGATATACAAAGGAATACACATTTTTCTTCTATATTACAGGTCATATATGACTCCTCTGAAGAGTGGATTAATGTTCTAACTTGCTGTGTACAGTTTAATGTATGTGCTTCTGCACATACATTTGGAAACGAGGGAATTACTGTATATTTTTAAGTGCAGAACTTATATTTCTAAAAAGAAAAAAAAAAGGTGCCAAGGATTAGTGTGTATGCGGCATCCCCCTCAATGATAGCTTGAAGTATTGCAACTGGCACAAAAGAAATACTGTTTATTTCATGGTGAAACTTCGAATTAGTGTCTAGCTAAGGTGTTTTTCTTCAGAGAAACTGAATTTTAAGGAAAGAAATTTCTCTGTATTCCACTCAAGCAAAATACAAATATAGCACCCTCACATCAGTTTTCTTCTGAAGTGTTCTGTTGAAAAGAAGTTTAAGAAAGCATTTCAGACGTGTGAAGTGGCAGTAAAAAAATCTCAAATAGTGGTTTTAAACTGTAGGAGATGGTGTAACCACATTTAAAAGTTTAACTGAAAAAGCAGAATTTGTGTTTGGTACAAAAATTACTCATTGTCTAGGTAACTACATTCACTTTGCTTTGGCTTACATGAAGCTGTGTGAGAGCATAATAATTGCCAGAACTGTGTAATGAAAACTGTAATAGTACCAGTTCATGTCAGGTAAGCCATGAGGTACGAAGTGATGCATTAGCTGGCAGATTTGGTGTAGGAAAATGGGTACAAACAATAAACTTTAACAGCAATTTTACAATTATTGCTAAAATGTCTAACTTTTCGACTGTAGTGGCTTGGTAAGCTCCTGTGGGGATGAGCTTCTGTGGTAGTTTCACTCTGGGCCTTCCTGGAGACCGGCTTGTGACCAGGAAGGAACTAGGAAGGTGATCACGGAAGTATTCCATGCTATCCCTTTACGTAACTTGAGGTATAAATAAGGCCAGCAGGAGGGACCTCGCTCTCTTCCTTTCCGGCGAGGTTCGAGAACGGCGGGTCCCTGTTTCAGTCTGGCTTATCTGGAGCCGAGGCCTACAGTGACTGTCGTTATCTGCCACGCGTGAGGGGAGAGCCTTGGGCCGTGTCTAGCCATCCTGCCTGTTCGAAGGGAAGTGGTGAGATTTTTGGTAGCTTGCCTTTGGTTGGCTGGTTGACTTGTTCGGTCCTTGCCCCTTTTTGTCCTTCTCCCTTCCCCCCCCCCGCCACGGTGTGTGGTATTCCCCTTTTGTGTATCTGTCTCATATGTAAAATACATATATATATATATTTGCTATAGCTTTGGCTGTTTGAGTTCTTTCTTTTCTCTTCCCCCTCTGGGAGACAGGTCCTTGTTGTCGGGTTTCGGGGGCTTGGCGGGAAGCCAGCTCGAAACTTGCACAGCTTCTCAGTGTCATGAAAGTTTAATGTGAAATTTGGGCTCCTGTGAGACTAGCAAAAATTTTTCCACTGATGTAAACAGAACCAGCATTTCTTTCCTTTTCGTGTAACCTGCAAAAGAAGATCTTATTTATGAAGTGTTTAGACTACTGATTTCAGAGACTCACGGACAATCGATGTGTGATGTTACTGTAACTGTTAGTGAAGCTAAACTAGTGTTAGTGATGATAGGACTTTTTGCTAAGTGATGTAAAATATCTTACTTTTATTTTTATGTTGCCAGATACCAGAAACAGTTCTGCCTCCTATAGTTTGGAGGTTGAATCAGACCTAATGCCTCTTTTCAGAGTTGCATTTATTTTTTGTTTGCATTCTTTTTAGGTGCAATTTCCCTTGTGTTATCTTTATTTCAGCTGTTGTCACAGAAGTCAGCTGAAAATGAGCTGAGTGACAAACTAAATCCAAGGATATTTTAGCATTAATTTTCACTAGAGCAATCTCCCAAAAAACTATTCCTCAAGCACAAGGAGAGATTGCCACTCTACAGTGACCTGAATGTTACCTAAATAATCTTGTAAGGTTTGCTATTCAGATTGTGCAGAACAAAATATGTAAACCTTACTGAGGCAATACGTTGAAAGGAGATGTACTTCACACCTCCCCTGCTCCATTTCTAGGAGATTATGAAGATGGGTACTTGTTTGTGCTTCTGTTCACCATGCCCAGGATGTTAATTCTGGCTTCTGCTGTATTTTGTCATATATTGTTGTTACCTTTCTGTGGTAGATCACTGTACACTGCTCAGAGGTGAGCAATTCAGATATGGAAGAGCAAGCAAGGAGTTAAAGGTTGAGTGAGCAGCCCCCTGTTTCTTTCAAGTCGGACTTTTGTTTTGGAAGGCCATGTTGATCTGCTTAACATCAGTGTGCCCTGAGCAAATCTGGAATTGAAAAAAGTTTCCATTTCGCACATCCATCTGATTCCCTGTCTACTGGTATGGGCAGCTTTATGTGGGCCTTGCTGGGTTTTGCTCTGGCTACTGCTGACATTGAAATTCTTCTCAATTAGGACATGTTATGTTTTGGTACTTTGCTGAATTACGTAGAACCTCCTGACAGAGATGTGAAGGTACCTTACCTCCTTGTCTGTTTTCTCCTCTTAAATTAAACTTAAAAAAACCACTTGTGGTGTTGCAGTCTTAGTAACTTCTTTGGTGTATTCCTTTCAAGAGTGGCTTCCAGTGGCTTGCAATGAAATTTTTAATGCAATTTGTGCCTAAAAATCCACTATGTGGGCTGGTACTTGTATATTTTGTATATGAAAATGATGGTTGATTGCCTTGTTGTCCTGTTAGGATTCATTATGGAAGGGTAACAAATAACATCTGTAAAATTCAGTGATACCATTCCTGCTTTTGCTGTTCCTGTGGCAAAAGATAGGAGCTAGATGGATGTGCTGAGCTATTATTTCTGCTCTTCCCATTAGAGAAGGTTTTATTCTCAGCCTCTTGAAATGGGGTAAGTCAGAAGGAAGATCTGCTGCTGCCAGATAAGCCTGCCATTAGAACCAGAAAATTTTAGAATTATTTTTGTGTGGTTACTTTTTATCAAGTGAGGCTAATAAATAATATTTTTGGGGTCATGAAGCTTATAGCCTGATGAATAGGAATCACAGAATATTCTCAGTTGGAAGGGACCCTCAAGGATCATTGAGTCCATCTCCTGGGCCTGCACAGGGCCATCCCCAAGAGTCCTGAGAGCATTGTTCAGACACTTCCTGAGCTCTGTCATCCTTAGTGCTCTGACCACTTCCTGGGGAACCTGTTCCAGGAAACAACTGCCCTGTGGAAGGAGATGGCTTTATTATGATTGAACAGTCCTTTTGCAGGAACAGGGAGATGTAATGTTTTCAGAGCGTTCTAGAGAGGGGCATGTGGTATGAATCCCAGCAAAGCTGGCTTCCTTGGGGCAGCAAGTCTTCTCTAGTCTGCAGAGCAACAGAAAGCATCATTTTGCTGTTTGCAATGTTACCTGTGCAAGAGGTTTAATACATACACTGCCCACGAAAGTGGTGCTTTTAGGAACCTGCCACAGTCCCTTAAAGATGAAAATTGGACTGTTTTTCCAGCGAGACCTGGTAACATAATTCAGAATAAAGCTCTGACAACTGTTAAGATACTAATTATCAGAGTAAATACAGGAAATAAATAAATAGGAGCAAAATAGAGGAGTTAATTACTTTCTCCAGGAGAATTGTTAGTCTAAACACTGAATGATAATGTCAGCCATCTCTGGTTGACAGCTATTTAGTTTGCCAGATTTTGCAGATTTCTTTTGGCAAGACTGTGTTCTTTGGTTTCATTTCCAGAGGAAGTTATATTTACATGCAGTTCATTTCAGTTTGCTATTGCAAATGGAGCAGGTGCTTGTGATAATTATTTTTTCTGATTTTATTTTACTGTGCAATTAGTGTTATGATGCAGAAAATATTAGTGCATATTAAATTAATCACATTCTTGATCAGGGATGAATTGAAGCACATACTAAATGCTAAACGAGTTCCAATGGCCTATAAAAATAATACAGCCATTCCTAGAAGTGTCACTTTAATTTACTCTTCTGCTGATTTCAGGATAATTTTATAAGAATGTGAATTGATGGTATTCCAAAGAGATTATATTCAGTTCCTAAGAGTTGCTGTAAGGGATTCTGCTACCATTGAATTGACAAAAATAGTTCTCGTCTAAAACTTTACAAAAGTGCGCAACCTTACCTGCTCCCCCAAAAGAGAGTACAAATAAAGATTTTTACATGTGTCACTCTAAATGGTTTATTTCCCCTTTTTTTCAAGTATACATACCACAATTTATTCCAAATATGCACTGCAAATTACCTGCTTTCTTAATCATAGGGATCACATGTTCCTTATTGCTGATATATTAGAATTTTGAGCAGTTTCAGAAAATAGATTGCAGACAAAAATATATTTATGTGTCCTTTAATCCGCTTTAGAAATGGACATAAAACTCCTCCATGTTTGCCCATGAATATGTCCATGAACTGAACATTGGACTGCAGCTAAAATTTCTAAACTCTGTTTTAGAAACAGAACTGTGTTTCGCTTTTGTCAAGAAAATTATGTGAAAGAAACAAGTCCAGGAAACTGTCCTGGTTCAGAACCAGGATAGGTTCTGAACTCTTGAGTGTATAGTTGGAGGGTTTTTTGGTGCTTTTTCCTTTGCCAGTGCTTTCATACAAGACAAGTGTGGAAAATGCACTGCATTTTGGGTGGAGATTTTGAATAGCACTGAATGTAGAACTAGTTTGTTTCCTTTGTGACCAGTGCACGTCTGTTGATGGGAGAGTACTTCGCTTGTATCCAAGACACTCAGGACACATCTCTTAAGGGAATTAGCTATCGGAAACAATTAAAAGTGCACACTTGCAGTTAGCATTGTATGGAATAGATACACTTCTTACGTTTCCTTTCACTCATGGTTTGTGCTGATGTTCTCATTTTTGCCTTTTTTTAGTAGTAGTAGATAAAGAAGAATAATGTACAACTCAGTCTTTTTTATATGCCAATGGCTCTGGACAGGCTGAGGAATTAATAAGGAGTCTCACCAGACCAGCAATCCAGTTTATTTAGCTGTAATTAAGAAGGGAGATAAAACACCTCTCTTACTGTGGAACTGGGCTTTCAGGCTTCTGGAAAAAACCACTTTGTGATGGCTCTGCCATTCTGCATCCTGGAATAGCAGTAATGGGTACTTAGTGTATCACATTAACCTGCTTGCTTTGCTTACCTCAGATCCTCTGTTGATACACAATCAACTGGTGACTGGTCCCAAAATGCTTGAGTGTTTGTGGGTCCTCTTTTTTTTTGTTTTGATTTTCCTTCTTTTCTCCTTTCCTAAAAGTTTTAGGAGCTGTTTTGTTAGGGGACTGGTTTTTCAGTTATTTGGGAGGATTAATCTTATCCGGGAAGATCAGATAGGCTCATTAATTTACTCACATGTGTAAGTTCAGTTGCTGACTTTAATTTGTTCTAAAAGTCTTTCTTATGTCCCTGTGATGATAAGTGTGTTTGATGGCTGATTGCTGCTGTGATCTGTGTCCCTTCAGTCAGCTATGGGGATGAAGGCTCTCGTGGCCTGTTTTGGTACTCACAGAAGACCAGGAAGATCTTGGCTCTGCATAGATCCCTTAAGAACTCTGCTGGCAGCAACCGTTGCACATAGAAATGGGAGTGTAATAAAGAACACAAAAGCAGTGGCTTTGCTTACTTGGCTTTGCACAAGTTTAGGGCAAATATGCATTGTACTGTAGCAATCCAACAGCTTTACCTCAGTTGTTTTTTTTGTTTTACTGGACAGGATTCAAACTCATATAATAGCTGTAATTCACTATGGGGTATTTATTTATGTATTACTTATAGAAATTAATCAAGTTTATTAATGATCTTCAGATTTTTATCTGGCTCAGGTTCCCATGCTGTACAGATGCTGTGACTGTAAGGGCTAGCTGCATATGGTTGTATTTTTTCTTTCTCCTTTGTATGGTAGTACAAACAACAACAGAGCTGAAATATTTAATTTGTTTTCTTTAAGGAGAATACTCTTTTTGCACTTAAAGCTAATGATAAATTAGAAATATAGAAATTACAATGAGCAAAGGCCTTCTAATCCCTTTTCTTTTGATTGTGTCTTAATGCTTTAATTTATCTTGGAACAGACATTTTCAGTTTTTCATCATGCATAGCATTCTAAACAAATGCACACTCACATTGTTCCAATATTTTCTGTGTGAGATATTGATGATGACAAATTGAGATAAGAAAAGCCTAAGACACATCTGGGTGGTACATTCTGAGATAATTTATTGATTACTGTGTCCCCTTTTGCCATTTTGTCATAATGGGGTTATTAGTTTACCCTCTTTATACTACAGATAAAATTGCCAGCCTCATGAGATGTGAGCACAGACACCCCCTACACCCACTTTCACTGTGAACACAAAACAAGTTAGCAGAAATCCTTCTTCATAGTTTCATTCTTGGTTTGAAGACAATGTTTATTGCTGCCTAATGTGGAATTATAATCTCTTTCTCAGGATTGTGTAATGGCCCAGGACACTACAGTGCCGAAACTGAACTTTGAATATTGGTTGGATAAAGCTGTTGAATGGGGTCAAGCCACTACACTGGAATCCCAGAAAGATGTGTGCCTTCACTTGCCCCAGCTGCAGGAGTTTCTACATCAGCTTTATGAAACTTTAAAAGATGTGGTAAGTAACCTTAGAAGGAAGAGTAACCTGTTTTGAAGACACCCTGCAAAACAATCTGCACCATGTTTTGATAAAACCAGAAGCTACAAGTAGCAAAGAAGTTTGTGTTGTTGACCTAATGTACTGCTGGATCAGAGGGGCAAATTGGGGAAACAGTCACAGGTAATGCAAACAGGAGTGTGCTTCCTGTTTCCCTAATTTATTGGGAAAAGAGCTTTTTCTCCTTTATTGGTTGATGTCACGTGAGATTTCCCAGCCAGTGCTCTAGCCTCTTAACAAAACTCTTTAAATAAACAAGAATTTGATTCTGGTTGTCGGGTCATAAATTGGATGATTTAAAGGGCTTAACGTGTAAATCTGTAACTGATCCTTAAAACCTTAGAGGGTCTGGTGACATGTTAACCCTGGTGTTACGGCACACACAGTGAATTCTGGCAGCATGGGCAGACCACTGACATCTGCTGCTGCCTGTTCTGCTTAGTAGTTTAATTGTTGTCTGCACTCACTTGAGTGCTTTTTATAAAAGTAAATTTAGTTGTTTCTATGTTTAGTTGTTTCTGTATTTTTCTGAGCATGGCTTTTTCAGTGTATATGTTCAGTATAAGTAGCTTTAGAAATACTGCATTATGGCATAAAGCTTGCTTCTTATGGAGGTACTCCTTTTTAAATATTCTTCTTATCTGAAGACTTCAGAAAAGGATTTGTTTCTGAACTGAATTTAAATTTTAAATAAAAGATTTTTGGGGAGTGGTGTTTCTTCCTATATTTATGTATCTTTTTCTTAAGAGGGGAGAAAAAAAGAACATTGCTACTTCAAGTAATCTGAGGCTTGGCCTGAAATGGACCTTGTGAATATGGCCCCAGAAAGTCTGGGCCTAGCCCCAAACGTGAGACAAATGTAAGGAATTTATTGCAGTAGCAGGAGATGGTTATCATGTTATGCATGTTATCTCAGCACAGCACTATTTTTCAAAGCCTTCATTTATTAGATAGTAAAGCTACAAAAATGGAAAAATAAGACTGATTACACAGGATTGTATATAGACTATACTGTTTATTACTTTTATAGTGAAGCTGCTTTCTATTTGGTTAGAAGTTAAATGTCAGTTTGTTACTGGCTAGTCATTAAGTAAGTTAATTTAAAGAAAGCAAGCAGAAGTAACAGAAAGATACCTAGTTTTGTGCCATAGTAGGTATTAATTTCTTCTGAAACCGTGAGACTGTATTAAAGCAGTGAGGATCAACAAAAATGTATGTTAATAGGGCTTTTCATACAATGGGATCTTGGTTACTGACACTGTTCTGGTTGCTGGATGTGAGGCAAATGAACTAATTTTCTACCATAGTTAAGTATTAGGTAAGGAAATTGCTTATGTTAAGTTTTAACTTACTTGAATTATGACATTTAGCAAATTTCAGGAAGTTCTGCTTTTATTACAAACCTGCAGGTGTTTTGCTTCCAGACGATTTCACAGTAAAACCATTGAGATTGTAATTTATAACAATCTCTATCATTACCAGTTCTGCTAACCTACTTTTGACGTGCAGTATAATTACTATCTTTTTGCCTGTTTTTATGTTTTAGCAGGGTTCAGTTGCAGCAATCCAGCGGTTCCCTTTAATTGGACAGCTTTTAGGAAGGCTCTGTTGGAATCCTTTTGTTATAGGATATGGTAAGAACATCTAATGATATTCCTGTAGCAGTTCCATAAACTTAGTTCCAGAGAAATTAACATAATATGACTTGTTATGGACTATAATTTTTTTCCATAAAACACAACATTCTTTTTTACTGAAGTAAAATTTTGAGATTAAATGACTAGCCATGTTATTTAAAATATGTGGCTTTGAGAACTGTTAAGTTTGCTTTTGGATCTAATGACTTTCATGGATTAGTTACAGAATCTTGACTTGGGACCAGTAGGTTTTAAACCAGTGAATGTTTAGGTGCTTCATGATCTCCAGTCTTATTTTCTTGTTATATTGATTACATTTTGCTAGGATCTCAAAATGTATAAAATTTAATGCTTCAAATGACTTTCAACAGAAGTCTCTTCCAGTTACGTATCAGAATATTCTATTAGATATGCTAATATAGGAGATTTAACTTTTCTGCTACTTACATTTTTCTAATTAGTGTAAAGTTCTCGTAAGTTATGATTGAGTTTGTTTTTATTGAATTTATTCTGAACGTGTATTTTCCCTACCTCTCCATCCTCAACTAGTGAAAATGCACATAGAGTCAAAATTAAAACAGTTAAGTGGTGGCACAGGAAAAAAACATATGAAAAAAACAAAATGCTGTTACTGGTAGTGAACATGTTTGGGGGTGAGATTATAGAAGAGAAAATAAATTGGGCACAGGAAACCTGTTGAGAGGGAGCAGACACTCCTTGTGCGCCCTCACCAGCAGTTCTGTGCGTTTTCCAGGAATTGAGATGTTGATATTTTGATAAATCACTTGGGACCTCCTTTTGAGCAGAAACTAATTCTGAGCTTCTGTGTGAGGCCCTTAAAATAACCTTTAATCAGCCTGTTGTTCTTATTAAGAAGAAAAAATATCACGTTTTGTCTCTTCTGCTTTTTGCTTCCTTTTGGGGAAATCCAGGCAAGGCCAATGTTGTGTTCACCTAGAGGAGTTATTAAGTCAAGCACAGTGTATGTGCTGGTTTGGCTTTGCCTTCAGTCAGCTCCAAGCACAGGCAGAGGGAACTTGTCCACAAAACACACGGTGTGTGTAATGTCAGCACTTCTCCCCTGAAGGGAAAATTTGGGAAGAGACCATAGACAGAACACTGTCTAAACACAGTCCACGGACCACTTTTGCAGACCAGCAAATGTGTGCTTTTTGAAAAGCCTTTTTGTACTTTATAGATATATTTTTTGCAATGTAAAGGTTTCCCTTGTAATCATAGTTTCTGAGAATGTGACTGTTGATGTTTACAATTACACACATGCTTTTCTTCTAAATTTTCGTTTGGAATATACAGGTGTTTAGACCATCAAATTTTCTGAGCTGACAATATATTGTTTAATAGAAAGTACCTTCATCTGTATTTTTCATCAAAGCTGAAAGCCATCTGTGTCTGCTTTTGGCTCCTTTTCACAACAATCCCAGCAATATGTTCTTGGTTTCCTCTACTACTTTGCTCTTTTTTGTGTCCCTTCAGCATTTTCTGAAGCTGCAAAAGCACTTTTTCTGCAAGTTGATTGTTAACCTCTGAAGTTTGCTTGAGAGTGGAGTTTTACTACAGGGTTTTTGGTTTTGTCTCAAAGTGGCAAGCAAGAATTCAGAGAACTTTACTTGCTAAAAGTGGAATCCTTCACTTTCATGCTTAAAGATGAATCAAAGGGATTTTCTGACATCAGTAGACCTGAAGATGTCTGCTTACACATTCCCACCACTTCCTCTTCTTAGAGCCACCTGAGCACCCTTTGGACTGCTCCATTTTAGATTCAGCAGTTTTTCGTTTTGTTTGGCACTAGTTCTGAAGATATTCTTTAAGATAGTGCTGCCTGTAGCAGATGCTGACTCTCAAGTGGGTTTCATGTAATTTCTCATTTGGATAAATAGCTCATTCAGGCATGTATCTGAGGCCAGGCCACCCTCGCAGTAGAAGGAACTAATTTTGTTCAGTTCAGTCTTTCATACTCATAAATGGAGAAGGAAAAACCTTATACTTCTGTATCATGTCCAAACCACAATACCTATCACCTTAAATGGCTGTCTGTTGGTGCTGGAAGCTGCCATGGCTGACCACTGAGTGCAGGAAGTGTGGCCTCTGAGGGAAAATAATCTGCTCATAAACACTCCTGGGCAGGAGGTGACCACGTTGGCCCTGTTTAGAATGCTAATGTGAGGGAAGCACGACTGCAGAAAATCTCATGGCTCTACTTGTGGTCCTAAACCACAAGGGATACATGAGGAATTCAGTCTTGGTAAGGAATTCCCAATGTTTTTTTCTGTGGGCTGGGGGATTATCTTCTCAGTAGGACCCTCCTGGTTTGGGTTTTGAGCCCAGACTAACACTGAAAATGCTGGGGGCTCTCTTGGGGGCTCTGTGTGTCAGTGCGTGTGTGTGTGAGTGTGCTTGTGGGCGCATTCATGTCCACAGGAAACTCAGTTTTAGCTAATCAACATTTTCTGATATATTTCAATAAAATTTTACAACAAACTCTAAAAATAATATTTCTGGCTTTAAGATTAGAGTTTATTTCCTTCCATCTGGCCCCACTCATGACAGGGTTTTTATAAACTGCCTGTATCTCAGGATGATTGAGACTACAGTGTGTTGTGAGAAAAACATTCCCTTTTTTTCTTTTTTTCCCTTTTTAAAAAAAAAATTTGTTCTGAGATTGGCAGGAAAGAAGTGCAGTCTGATTGATCATAAAGGTTTAGGCTTTTGGTTGGTTGGTTGGTTTGGGATTTTTTAGTTCCTTTTTGTTTGTTTGTTTGGATTTTCTTGGGTTTGCTTGTTTTGTTTTGTTTTCTTTTGTTGGTTTTTTTTTACAAAAACAACTTCCAATCTGTCTTAAATTTCCTATAGAAAAGTTTTATTCCCTTAGTTGGAGATACATTACCTACCTATCTAGTAGATAGTTGGTAACCTCTTTTGGGCTGTAATTTCCACCACTGAGTTTTTAATTTTGTTTCTCTGGACATATTAGTTGGTTGGTTATTTGGATAGCCAGCATTCATTCATGCCATAATAAGATCAAGTGCCTTAATTTGTATCCTGATAATGGAAAATATCATGATGATATGTTTTCCATGGAGATCACAGTTGCTAGAAAACAGGGAGGAAAAAATGTCCCAGTAAGTTTTCTGTGACTGTGTGTTTGGGTTTTGGATTTGATTATTTTTTTCAGTTGCTGTAATTATTTTGAGATATTAAAATAATTACCTTATTCTTAATCTTCCCAGCTTTCCTCCACTGTTCCAGAGCAGTTGTGAAAAGAAAGCAGTGAACCTGAGGGTGGCCCTCGGAGGGTGTCACTGGGTTCTTCAGCAAGAGGATTTTATGGGCTGTTTTCCTGCTTCTCACAGATCTGTGGGAGGCTGCCTGTTTTGGTCAAAAAGTAATTTTGACTGGGAAAGTTTGAAGCTGTTCCAGTTCCTTATTTTTTGGAAGCTGTTGGCATAGCTATGACACCAGTGTAACTCAGTCTCACCTGGGTTGAGATTTGAATTTGTCTGGGTGAATCTGTGCTTATTCATGCTGGCAAGGTGTGCCAGCTTTGTTTATCTAAGGTTTATTTTCATCATTTTTGTTTTTGTCATACTGATTTACAGTTCTGACAGGCAACAGTACATGCAATTTACTTTATAGTATGTAACAAGTCATCATGTGTAGCAAAAAATCTTCCCATCCAGAAGTCTGTTCAAGCAGTTATATGCATTTTCTTCACCTCTTTTCTTTATTTTTTCTAAGTCAAAAAAGCCCTATAACTTAAATAAAATGACTGATTGGCATACTATAGACATACAGTATAAACCAGGTGAGTCAAAAGAAGGAATACTTGAACTGTGTGTACACTCTTGGAGATAGGAGATTTGAACTTCATTTCTTTTTCCATGTCTCTTTCTGTGTAATTCATGTAATTGAAAATTATCTCAATAGCCAGACTTTATAATCAGGCCATATTTTAGTACTAGTAATTAATAATGTTTAAAATCTTCATTTTCCAAGAAGCAACTGGCTATCATTTAGCTGTTTAAACAAATAAACCACTCTTTGCTTATTTTTCCTCCCTTATAATGTCATAATAGAGTTTAGGTGAAATGTTTTCGAAGGAGATAAAGTTGCCTATTAGTGCTGATGTCTGAATGCTATTGGAATATGGCTGCAATCAAAGTATAAGGATACTTTGAATTTGTGCTGAGCCGCATGCAATATATGTACTTTAACTTCAGTCTTACACAACCTAGGAAATTATTAGCCTTGTAAAAATCCTTATTAAAAAAAACCTCAAACACATAATGTCAGAATACTCCAAATTGTAGTTGGTTAAAAGTGTATGTTCGGGAAACCATTTCTATTGCAGAGATGTTAGTCAGTGGGAGGTCAGTAATGGCCTACAGGCTTGTTGGACATTTATTGAGGAATACTGGTTTAAATCAATGTTAACATCTCTGGTCACCTGGTGAAAATACAGGCATTACTTAATGGAGCTTTTATTTTTTCCTCAGGCTTTCCCAACAAAGCACTTCTAAATAATACTGTTTATTACATCCTGGATAACAAATACACAGAAAACAAAAGAAAGCATTCCTTGGGCTTGATAATCAAACTGTCTCAATATAGTTTCTAAACCTCATGTGGTATCACTTGTTTGTATTTTTTTAACAATCATAGTGTTGCTTACTGAGTATTATATCAGAGCTACAATACTACATCCAGTTTTCAGAATTTTCATTTCAATCATGTAGTTTCATTCTGGGATTAAATTCACTGTAAAAACTCTTAGTATCTGCCAAAGAGTATTAGAAAAAAACTACCAAAGCCTATTGAAAACAAAGTTGTGGCAAATAATAGTGAGTGAAATGACTCTTACCTGCTTACTCCAGATAATCAGCTCCTCTGTAATAAAGTCTGTGCATCTGAGCACTGACAGTATTGCTCATTATGGTAGATTCTTAAAGAAGAGAACTCATTTCCAACAGGGGGTTAGAATTAAGTAAAACCCAGTCTGAACAGAAAATCATAATAGGACTTTTTTCCCATCAGCATTTACCTACTCTGCTGTCTGCAGAAATGTAGTTTTCCTGAGACATGGGGATTCTCAATATATTTTTACAGAGAACTTGGTATTTTACATTCTAGCTGTGAATGATTTCATACTTCACAAACCTTAGTTTTCTGTAAGTGAGCATACTTTAGATGTGCAAGCTTTGGACACAATGCAATAACTATTTTACTACTGTCGATTATTGTTTATTAATAATGATATTAGATACTGAATTGAAAGTTCCTTGATAGCCTCAGGTATTATTTACTAGGTCCTGCAAGTTTCTAAGACCATCTAATTATCGTATAGCTTTTGAACCCTTTGATACCTTTTAAACTGCTATTGAAGAAAATGGTTACACAAGGTGTACAAATGAATAACGTTAAATGTGTGGCGTGCATCTGGTAGAAGAGGAGCACTATGAGCGGAGGCTGATATTTAGGGCTTTAGTTCTGTGGATGAATTGGGATTGTTGTGTGTAATTCTGTCTGTGTTTTGTTTGGGTTTTTCTTTTCCCTCTAAATGTATCTTTATTTGCTTTTTTCCCTACAGATGAAAGCCAAAAGGCTCTGATGTGCTGCTTGTGTTGTCTGTACAGCAGTGAGCCACAGAACCCTGTGGAGGTGAAGGCCAACAGCTGGATCCGTGTAAGTGAGTGAATCCTTCTCGGAACTACTTTGGATTAAACTGATCATTTAAAGGTGCTGCATCTCTAGACACACTGTCAGTCTGTCAGTTCAGAAACTGCTTCAGACACAACTTGCATACGTACTGTGTTGAAGTCTATATCAGTCTAATTATGACATAGTCACTGTTAGTTTGTCATTTTAAATCTTAAAAGAGGTGGCATTTTACAGTGAGTAGTTTTGGTGGCTCATAACAGTAGTTTCATCAAGTCTGGAACCTGGGAATAGTAAGTAGCAATCACAAATCAGGAGGGAAGCAAGCATTGCTATTAAAAATAAGAACCTTTCAACTAGGATAAAATAAATAACTGGAGAAATGCCATAGTTTGTTTTGAAAGCAGCTTATATTTACTCTGTAATTTTATTCTTTTTTGCTTTTGTTGAATCTCCTGCCTGTGAAGAATTTAATTGTATCCAAACTTCTTTCAAAGGCAGACAAAGGGGAGGGGCAGTGCTTGTGTGTGGATTTATATGTAGTGACTTAAGAAATAATGAATCCTTAACTGTAATCCCAAATTTAGGGTTTTGCATGCCACATCTGTTCATATTTTATATATTTCCACACTGACTTAGCAAAGCACATCAGCATGTAAATAACTCACAGCACACTGATGCTTAACACTTTACATTGCTGAATAGCAATTTGGGGGTGCAGTGCTGTTGCTTTTCTGTCCTTGCATTTTCAATGGATCCATATAAAAATATGGTATAAAATACAAATGGAATTGTTAATATATTTTTTTATATCTTATAGTCCTCATAACTAGTGAGACTAGCAGCCTGAACATTATTTATGTACAGTCTGCTAAAGCTGAAGATACTTCTAGACTTCTCTAAATAGCTAAGTTCTTACTCACTAGTTTATTTTGTATGTCAGTTTATCTAGGTGTGCATGTAATACTAAGATGTACAAATGACAATAAAATAATTGATGATGATGGTGATGCAGATTTTCTGTTAGTAACTAGCTATATTTAGCCATGTAATATTGTTGATTACATGCAATAGACTGAGAAATAAGTTCTCACAGTCTTTCAGATGCTGTTGGTGCCTGTGTATACCCATTTGGTGGGTTGTACCATGCCATGAAATTCTGAACAATCTAATACTAAGTAAAATCTCCCTTGTTTCCTTCCTATCTTAATCATTTTTCAGGAGGCTTTTACTGAGGTTAATATACTTGGAATTCAGAGTGTGGGAATGCTTGAATGCCGAAGTAAAGTGATTCCAAAAAAAATTCTGCCTTTTCTGATGTAATTTTGCTGGTTGGTTATAGTCTTCATAATGAAATAGGAGCTGCATGCACAACACCATGCAGTTAGTTATCAGAGAGAGCAAAATTTGTCTTTTTTTTTTTTCTTTTTTGCATTAATGATGTTAAGTGGTGAGGGAGAGTTGTACCCAGACAGTCTGTTTCTAGGAGGGAAAAAACTACTTGGTTTAATCTAGATCAGTTGACTCATTTGATTAATGTAACTAGTGGTTTTGCTGATATAAGAAAAATTAATCAGGTAAGCAGTAACAAACAGTTGGGGATAAATGGAGGTGGGGCTGCTGCTTTTGTCAGCACTGCCACCCTAAGCTGTCTTGCATTGAAACAAACATGTTGAGCATTTGATTCAAGCCTTACTGGAATCTGCAGAATTTTTTCCACCCTGTCTGGGTGTCTGAATCAACTGTAATAGCCACTGTGACTCAGTGGGTGAAGAGTTAGCCTAAAAGTTCGGAAAGATTGCATGGAGGAGTTGAAAGCACAAACATGGCTTACTGTCATTCAGCTCTTCCCTTGTTGCCTCAAGTGGATGTAGCACAGCACGAGAATACAACAGTTGAGATTAAGAGAAAAGATAATATTAAATTGTTTTCTATAGTGATTAGAATTTCTTGTCGGTTTCTTACTGCTCAGTGGGCATGATCACAAAGCTTTTTGGAGAAAGTGGTTTTATTTCCCTTACATACATCACTGTAATTCTATTCACCAGCAATTGTGATATAGGGACTATCACGCTTATTTTTATAGAAGAACCTAAGTTAAATATTTTGCTACTCTTGAAGGTTTGCTTTTACTATATGTGATGATGATTTATGTTTAAAAAACAAAATACACACAGTAAGTCCATTCACCCACCTAATGTGCACTTAACATTTTTTCCTCCTGAACTGCTTTATTTTCCTTGTTGTGTCTCAGAAGATTGTCACAGAAAGGGATCTAGACACATTTGCTATGCAAGCCATAATTTGAAGTCAGCATCAGCTGTTTTAATATGGATGACCGGTCTGATTGGAAAATTATTTGGTCAAGTTAGCATTGAATCTCTTCTTTCCTTTGCTGTCACAGCTATGTGTGTTGAGCGTGAAATTCCACCTTGCTTTTTATCATGGCAAGCACGAGTTCCTGAACAGTATTTTGGGCCCTTTGAGTGCATCTTTGACTAAGGTCACTCATAGGAAGGTTGATCTCAAGTCTTTTGGTTTTAGCTACTAAATTGCTTTTTCAAAGTTGCAAGACATATATTTAATGCCAGGTTACTTTTTAACTTTCTTGCCATTGTCATAGAAAAGCTGTGTTGCTTTTAGTGACAAGAAGGGCAGCTACCTAATTGAACTGCATTATTGTTACATTTCAGAAACCAAGATTGTGCACGTCCTTTAGTCCTTTAAAAGAATAAAATGTGAATAAAATAAATTACTTGAAATTGTGCAGTGTAGACTGCAGTTGATTTAGGACTAGGTGCTGTTTAAAATGGTAGATGTTTTTTGTTTTGTTTATGATTCTGAACTTTAGTGTTGGGATCCAGGTTCCCTAGGTCTGTTATGAAGCCAAACACAGCATAGGGAGTTAGGATATGTGCTGTCACAGACCTCTCCCTGATGAGAACAACCATGACCTGGTGAAACTGGTCTTTCAGAAGGTTACTTCATTCTCCAGCAGGCCTTCTCTGAGCAGAGATTTTCGGAGCTGTGAAGTGAGTGTGGTTCTGAGATGGACTCCTGTCTGGTGGAGTCTAGAATAGCTTCCTCTCACTCTTGCAATCACCATGCAGCAACTAGAGAGCTTTTCTGAAGCAGGTTTCATTTTTATGAACTTGGTCACACCTTTTCCTCTGCTCTCAGCTTATAAACCATGTTTATGAATTGCTTTTGGCTTGGAAATTCGTTCCCAATACCACGCTTATTGTATTGTTTTGGAAGACCATACATGCTTGTGAGAATGCTACAGTCCATCTCTTTTCAAATGGAGTAAAATAGAAACAGTAAATATCCCTCTTTTAAAACATTCTCTTTTTTTTTCTTTATTTTTTTTTAAAATGGGATTCATTTTTTTAGTGTTTTACTCTCCCTCAAAGGAATACAAATGAATAAGACAGTGTATACATAATAGCTTAAACATAGGGGTGGAAAGCCTATAAGGCTTGGCGTATGTTTTCAGAGGTGTTTTTTTAGCTTGACCAAATTTGCCTTTCTGAAAATGTGTAGTTCTTTTGTGAATCTGTGCCCTGTGCATGGCCATGTTATATTAATAGGTGTTCTTTGTAATTTTTAATGGCACTGGAATTATGAAAATTATTTTTGTTCTATTTTATAAAAGTACCTAATGCAACTTGTGTGTTTTGTCGTTCATTAGATTTTATACATGTTTTTTCTTTCCAGTGTATTATGGGTAATTTTTGAACCAAGCATGGTGTCATGCCAAATCCATGTAAAAATTTTGATTCAGAGGGTTTTAATTTTATTGCGACAGTAAGTTTCTAGTTCCTCAACAGAACTGGAGGATCTGCCTTTTTTTTTTATTATCAACTTAATACTAGAATTTTAATTGTGTTGGTTCAGTTAATGAAGAACTGACCTTTCACCTCTACTTCTCAGTCTATGCCAGAATTTTCAGCAAAAATGGTTTTTTTCAAGACTTTTGTTTTCTATGTTGCAATGTATCCAAGACTGTAATGAATAAACATTGAAAAGGTGGTCTCTTATTTATGGTTCAAAATGGAAATGTTTGTGATTTACTTCTTGGGACAGATATACCTGCATTGAAATGCTGGTTACCTCTCCCTATAAACTTGCACTTGTGTGTGTTTTTTCATTTCTCTTTGGATGTCAAGGACTTCTGGCTTGTACCTTGGATCATCCAGCTGTCTGATCAGGTGTTTCAATATTTGTAATTCTTAACAGTTTAATTCATTGACATATGTTTTGGTTAGACAACAGTACTCAGGAACACTAGACCAGGTTGCTCAGAGCTCCACCATGCCTGGCCTTGAACACTTCCCAGAAAAAGAACAACACTTTAAAAACAGGAGTTCAGCAAAATTAAATTTCTTAAAATTTTAGGATTTTAATGAACTTACGCTTTGTCTGTCAGGAGTGAATTGCTCATTGATTTGCTGGGACTTTCTGAGGTTATTTAGTTATTTCTGAGTAAGTCTCATACAAATTGAAAAAGAACTATTAAAAGAAAGAAGTTAGACAGTAGACACTGATGGATCTACAGGCAAGTTGTGGAGAATAACTGAGAAAAAACCTGTAAAGTCAAATTAAGAAAAGGGCAAGGAGTCTGAAACCTATGACTGTGTGCTTGTTTTCATGTATTTTGGCTTTTATTTGGAATGAATTACCCAAGCATTTCCAATATTTCTGTCGTGGAGGCTTTACAGTGAATCATGAAGGAACTGAGGGTGCACCCTGACTTCTATATAGTCTAAATCTACCCCCTTTTAGTTAAAAAGCATTAATCCTTGTCCTGTTGCAACAGACCCTGCTAAGAAGTCTATCTCCATCTTTCTTATAAGCCACCTTTAAGTATTGATAGGCTGCAATAAGGTCTCAAGATCTTACAATAAGACAACTGTATTTTCTTCTGTGTCTGTTTTATGGTTAGAAGCCTGTTTTGGAGGATATATGGCTTATATGAATGTATTAAAATATGGTATACTGAGCATGTGAGGCAAAGTTTGAAAATG